CTGGTGCAGTACTCAAAAAAATATCTACTCTAGGCAGGGAATATCAACAAAAATCACCTGTCTAGGTAGATATGTAGCTTTGTGTAGTAATTTAATCGGCTGAAGAACGGCATGTTATACAATGAGGCTGTCCTGCGGTATAGACTCTTCGCAAAAGTCATTTGGTCATTGATTCCTTAAACAATTCAATCCACTTAGCTAATTAAAACTAAGAACTTGCGTTTTAGCTGAGAAAATTTACTTCTCTTAATTTTGGGGGAATTTTGGAATGTCAATTTCTTACCTAAATATTTACATTTTCTGTGGAAGTTAATTGCTATCTGGGAGTTTTCTGCAGGTGGCAGCACAGATAATTGCGACTGAGAAATTAAAACTTAAGACAAGTGCCCAAAGGGGTTTTAAATAGTCCGAATAGGAACAGAAATGGGTGGATAAATTGAAAAATTTATAGTAGATAAATATTCAGACGGATAAACTGTTTAAAATAAATAAAATAAAATAAAATAAAATAAATAAAATATTCAGATAGATAATCTCGGCTGATATATGTGTCTGTATGCGTGTGTGGGTGTGTTTTACCTTCTAGATTTATTTATTTATTATGTATTAGTATTTAAAAATCCAGTTTCCGTACTCTTTCCTTATCTTACACACATAAAGAAATTGCATTTACACCAAGGACGACTAGCCATGCGACGCAATTGCTCCCTGTCCAGAAGGAATTTAAAATATCATGTTTTAGTTAATGAATGTACATTTAAGCCTTAAAGTAAGTTATAGTCATGGATAGAAAAAATAATCGATCATTCAGTTTATAGATACATGTTCAAACACCATTTTTAGCTCAATAGTTTGATGATCTCGATCATGATTAACGCTAACCTCATATTATCATATTTTTCGTCATGCCATTTTGTCATGTGACGAAGACCTGTATAATAATAATGAAAGTTTCTGAAATATTCATAACGACTCGTCGTTAAATGCGCCAGTTTCTATAATTTTCAGCAATTTATTTCAGTGAGGAGGACCATCTCGGGCTTAAGAGGAGCAAAATTTCTTACTCCTATCTCCACCAATGAAAGCCAAGTAAAGCATCAAAAGCATTTATATTTTCTGTTTAGTTTCTTACTCAGAATATGGAAACCGATTTTTAGACTTTAACCACTGTTACGTCCGTACGATTGATTTTTAAGTGACTCGTCTAGAGGCATCGTAAAGGTTGATGTATTTTCACCCAATGAGTTGTTTTCATGCTTGACCAATGGCGAAAGATATCAAATTAAAACGAAGAACATTAAGGATTCACCCAGGTCTCATTGGCTTAAAAAAAAGAAAAGAAAGCTTTTACCAAAATAAGATATCTCATATCAATTTGCACATAATTCGAGAAGTCGGTCGTAGAAACCTGGAGATCCATGCGATGAAGAATTCGATTTTTATCTTTGGTCTGTTACTTTTGTGCTTCATGATACTTGCATATGTCTCATCAGAAGGTTAGCCTCACTATTTCTCATTTATGATCGGGAATAGAGAAGGGACATTAGTCCTTCATAATCGTAGTTATTGTTTAACACCTGCATGTTATATGTTTGGAGGAGGTTTTGTTATTTATTTCCACAATAGGAAACTTTTTAAAGATAGCTTAACACGTCCTTAAACTTCTTAACCAAGTAAATTATTAGTGATGGAAAGATACTTTGGCAAATAGTTTGCATGCGTGCCTTTATGTGAATTTAATTGCGAATGGTTTTCATTTCTATTCATATTTTGTATTTTGTATTCAAACATGTGAAAAGTTTACACTCGTAAATTATGTGGTCGTCTTCGTCGTCTTTTGTTATGCCGCTCAGTCTTTTTATTTGTGTTAGCTGTAGTGGTTTTTGTGTTTATTGCGCAAGTAAAGTAAGATTTTTGCCTCAGTTGTGGTTAATTTTTTCTCCAGTAATGCCAGTAAATATCGACAAATTTGCGATTCCTGCTAGATATGTAGCTTTTGAGAAGTAATTTGATCGGATGAAGAAGACGTTTTGCAATAAAGATCTTCTGCGGTGACAGGCTCTTTGCAAAAGTTCTTTGTTCGTTGGTCTGGTTTATTCATGGATTTCTTCAACGATTCAGTCCACCTTATTAATTAAATTCTACGAATTTCGTCTTTACTGAGAAAATTTACTTCTTTTTATTTTTGGGGAATTTTTGAATGGAAATTTTTCTTACTTAAATATGTGCATATTTTTGCAATTTAATTACCATCCGCAATTTTTTTGCAGATGTCAGTACGGATAATTGTCCGTAACTTATCTAGAAAGGTATTAACCTAGAAATTAAAATGGAAGACAAAAAGGGAAGAAAATGGATGGATGAACCATTATCGTTATTACTATTATTGTTGTTGTCATCGTCTTGACGTCTCTTATTGTCATCTGTTTTACCAGTGTTTTACATTTTTCATAATTTTTATAAATTTCAAAGACTTCTGTGACGCAGACCAATGCCGAAAGTTGGAGTTTACGCCTGAAAAAGCATTTGATGGCAGACGTCTTATAAACCACGTCATTCGCATCGTTGAAGTTCTGACAATGAATTTTTGTGAGAACATGTGTTATATGGAACCTGACTGTGTCAGCATTAATCTTGATAAACGAGTGAGTGAACATGGAGAGTACAAATGTGAATTGAACAATGTTACTCACGAAAGACACGAACACGACCTGAAGAAGGAAGACAATCATTTTTATCATGCAGCTGAGGTAGGTGTTGCATTATTAGCAAATACTCATTTCAAGGGAAAGAAAAAAAACTATGAAAAAAAAAGCCAGTGATGAGCGTTGCAATTGTTGCTTTAACTCTAATATCGCGGCCAATATTTATATCTGTAGAGTTATCATTGTTGTTGGTTTAAATGCGGCTCGTTTTCGATTTTATTAATATTTCAGCGAATGATATTAATATTGTTACTATTTGTTCTTTTTGCTACAGAGCGCTTGTGTTGATAACCCTTGCCGTAACAATGCTACTTGTCAAACCGGTTTTACTGACAAAGGATATCGCTGTTTGTGCACCACTGGATTCAAAGGTCCAAGGTGTAAGGAAGGTAATCGTTGTCTTGTCAAACCGCCCGTAAGCTCGGATTTTTACGCAACTTCTAAGGGTGCCTGTAAAAGTTAGGTAAACAGAGCCTGGTTTCAGAGTCTAATGTTTAATTAACTGGATACTGATAAATATAAATATATGTTGTTTCTTGTTGGTATCATCAAGCAAAGCCGCGGACTACTTTGTATTTTTAAAAGTAGTATACTTTACAAAAATGGTGAATTTTAATAGGAGGGGAATCGCCAGAGTATTGTGCGCAACTTCTGAGAGTACTTGTAAAAGTTCAGTCCCGGTATATTATAATCGCGCTCAATAATCAGTTCCAAAATGGATTGATGGTACTCCTGCATGGCCAAGAGAGCTGCAGGAAAATTTCAAGACGCTCAAGACATCGGATCCAATGTGGGTCTCCATTTGTTGTTTACACTTTATTTTTAAATCAGAATTAGTTTTAAAATTAATTGTAGTGATGGCGTTTTAATTAAGGGAGAGTCTTTTCAGATATCGACGAGTGTGCTACAGGAAAAACAAACTGCAGTGCTGATGCTGTGTGCAACAATACTATGGGATCGTACAACTGTGCGTGCAAACAAGGATACTATGGAGATGGAAATATCTGCCGTTCGGGTAAAATTTCTCTTGCTATATTTTTAAAGCCTTTTTTGTCTGTTTAGACTACTGCAATTAGAAGTTCGTTTATAATAATTATGTATAATGAGATATAGATATATAGTAAATCGATAAAAACCTCGATAAATGCCTTGTTAGAAACGACTGAGAATTCAAACTAAAAACAAACTAACTTCTTGATAGACGTGAAAAAGCTTGCTTGCGTAGATATCAGTCTTATAGCGTGCATTTGAAGCGTTGAGCGGCTTGACTAAAAACGGCGAGGCCGCGAGGGGTTTGGGATGCTTCTTAAATTCGCGGCTCCGCTGCTTTTATTCTCGTCTAGCGCATTACACAATGCTAACAATGCAAGCTACGAGAACACAAATGACCAAGAACGTTGTGTATTTCCTATTCCACATGTAAAATTCCCCTTTGAGAGCATTTAAAAACTCCTTCCCGTCTTTTTTTTGTTAAAGGGTTTATTCTGTTGATATGCCTTTTCCTTTTTTCAGCTTCGACGTGTAAGGAAATTTTCGAGCGGAATGTGTAAGTCAATTAATCACTAACAAGAACAAAGCTGGAGCAGAATTTTATTAGAGAATATGAAAATAGCAGCACTACTAATAATAGTAATTTTGAAAATAATATTGCGCTAAGCTTAGCAACCTTGATGATAAACATCTACATTAGCTTCGCTCTTGAAAGAAACCGCTCAATCGAAAAGTACTTTGAGTCATTTACTAAATATATGAAAGCCATGGCATTCATCAAGTTTAAAACGAATCTCTCCTTTTAAGAAGATTCTTTATTTTGTAGGTCGAAAAAGAGTGGCGAGGTTACCCTGCACTTAGACTCGAAGCCAGTTTCTGTTTTCTGTCATATGGGAGACTTTGGATGCGGAAATGGGGGATGGACACCGATCATGAAGATTAATGGCAGTAAGGTAAAAAATCAGTTGCTGAGAAATTTATTGAATATACAGAGAAAAAGTAGATGGGCGAAATATGGCTGTTGTTTCCTTAGTCATCGCTCAAGCGTATTTTTTGACCTTGAGCCTAAAACAGAAGTATTTTGTTTTCAATAAGGTAGAAATTAATCTGCAAATTTATTGAGGATAAAGGTCAGCATAGGCAAGCTGAAAAGGATGGGGGCAAAAATTGGCTGCGGTTCCCCGCAAAAAGTTGTCTTTACTTGACGAGCCACCAAGAGTCGCTCACGCGTATTTTTAAAATGACCCTGAGCCTAAAACAGGCTATAAGGGACATTAAATTGAAGAAATCCTTTGATATCAATTTCAGCGTACCTTCCGTTACCATTCCCATTTCTGGAAGGACAAAGAGACCTATGAAGAGGCTGCTGGCAAGAATGGCTTCGACTTACAAGAAACAAAGCTACCAACTTACTGGAAAACACCCTTCTCCAAGATCTGCTTCGGTATGAAGATTGGCCAACATCTCAGGTTCATCTTCATCAACAAGACAGCCGAATCTTTGTATTCATTGATCGCTGACGGGAAATACCGCGTCACTTCACTGGGTAGAGTCACGTGGAAGAAGGTTGTCGGTTCGCAAGCCTCCTTGCAGCAAAACTGCAACAAGGAAGGGTTCAATGTTAAAGGTGGTAACTCAAAAGCAAGAATCGGCGTCATTGCTAACCAGGAAAATGACTGCTTCACTTGCGATTCTAGAATCGGGTTTGGTACAGGAGGAGATAATTCGTGCGGAAATGTAGCAACACACAAGCCTGATAACGGAGACAAGCACATCAGAGCCATGGGGTACATCTTGGTGCACTGACAAGGCATATGATTTACATTTAAGCTACGAAGCCGTTATAGATTAGTAGAAAATTAGTTTACAAACTCAAACAAGGTAATAGAGCAATGGATTCAAACTTATCGTATTGTTTGGTCAGATCTGTCTAAAATAAAACTTTTTTTTTAATTCCAGTCTTTGACGTCTTATTTGTATAAAGTTAGTTTAGGCTGTGAAAACGAAGTTTGGCTGAAGCCATATCCAATCTTCGTAATATCCTTCGAATATCACGGCGTGAAAGCTCATAAGCTCCTGATTAGCCTGTAGATTGAGCGTAATTTTATGCGCTTCTCAGTCGAGCTGATAGAAGTGCGAGGCGCACGCGAAGAGCAATTCACGCGCGGAAGGAGGAACATATAAAACTCGATCTGTTTCTCCTCATAATAAAGTGTGTAAACCCTTTCACAGTGATAATTATTTGAATAAAGACGTATTGGCGCAGAGTGAATTCAGTACATTCTGGCAAGAGAGAGACTAATTTGGCGTGGCAAGGTTAGTTTCAGCATGATTAATTTCTGAGTAGAGAATGCTGACTGGGTTGAGGGGAAGCCATGGGTAACATTTAACACTTGTTATTTTGTTTTAGGGGGGGCCTCTCTGATCCTCATCCTCATCACTTGGAGAGCTTCTCTTACCTGTTACTTTGAACGTAAACTATTGTCTTAAAATGCCAGTTATTCAAGAAATAAATAAAATAAAACAAATCTGTTGCAAAACAACAAGGAGGAATGCAAAGAATTACCGATACGAGGATTCGAACCTAGGTTACTGCGGCCACAACGCAATGTCCTAACCACTAAATGATCAAGGCTAGTCATCCAGCTGTTCTGGACGTGATTCGTGGAAACCAGTACGGGGCGATCCCAAAGTCATCAACCACCATGGCCCTTATAAGCATGCTCCATGCGTGGTCCCTTGGGACGGACGGAAATGGAGTGACAGTGAGAACAATGTTATTTGACTATCGTAAGGCATTCGATTTTATAGATCACAGTATTTTAATTGATAAGCTATGTAAACTAGACATACCCCGCAGTGTTGTACATTGGATCCTAGATTTCCTTTCCGATAGATTCCAACGCATTAAGTTAGCCGAGGGCTCTTTTCCGAGTGGGGTCCAGTTCCCTCTGGGGTACCACAGGGTACCAAACTGGGCCCGTGGTTATTTGTCTTGATGATCAACGATTTAGATATCAAATCGCCACTAATGTGGATATTTGTTGACGACACAACCGCCTCTGAGGTAATTCAAAAGGGAAATACCATTAACGCCCAGGGTAAGGGTATAACCGAAGAATTAATCGAATGGTCCCGTAAGAACAGGGTAGTGCTAAATCCAGATAAATGCAAAGAGTTGAGAAACTCGTTTTCCCGGAACTCTGAGACCTTCGATTCGGTGTCCATCGATGATAAGGAAATTGAAGTGGTAAACAGTGCCAAGTTACTAGGTATAACTATAAGCGACAACTTAACTTGGAACGCCCACATTAACGAGTTAGTAAAGAAAATCAACTAACTAAACCAAAACTATACTTTCTTGTAAACTGTTTGACGCCATAGTAGCCGACCCCAACCATAAGCTACATGGATTACTGCCACAGAAAAATAATGTATGTTTATAATTTTCGATACAATCGTCCCTTTGTGTATAGGGCAAATAACACTTTCATACTCGCAATGTCCCGGCTATTCAACGCATCTTCTCATAATACATAGATTATTTCTTAAATTTTAGTTCAAGGATGAAAAAGTTTTACAAATTTAAACATTTTTACCATTATATTTAACATAGATTTATCATAGATTATTATTGTCCTTTTAAAAGTTGTAAAAGTTACTTAATTCAGCCTTCGGGTTGCGATGTGATTTAAATAAACCATCTATCTATCTATCCGATAAAAATTTAAAAAAAAGAGGCTAATTTAAACATAAAATAGGTTAAAATAGATCTTAAGGTTATGAGGGATTCAAAATTCCACTTAAATGACTTGTACTTTGAAAATGAGTTAAACCACTTTTAACTTTCTTACTTTGAAACAGAAAAATGCCGCGTTTAGAATGAAAAAGAAAAAAAAAATCTCTGTTCATAAAAACTCAGATTGATTGAGTGGAAACATTTATCCCACCATTATTCAAAATAATCTGGTAGCACTTTCATAGGAGGAATATGTTTATTAGTAAAATACCCAAGTTCTTGACACCGTTGCCTTTCATCGTCACAGAAATATTCCAGATTTAGAATCACGCAAAAAGGGAAAAAAAAACTTTTTCATCCAGTAAGTCGACGGATAGCTTCACTTACACTTCCGTTCATTTTAATGTAAAAGACGATTTCCTCTATAAGTGGTGAGCTCACGTTACCCTGTTCATTCAATAAACAAGTTAGGTACAAGTACTTCAGTAATTCTTCGGGGAAGCCAGCGTAGGTTTTCAATCCCACTAGTTTGTGTGAAGCTACGATCCAGTTATCGCTACCTTTACTTTAATGGGTGTGGCCAAGACTTTATCCAAAGTGAATCCGTACCCATGGCTGAGAATTGAAGACACTGTGGTTTTCGTGGGTGAGTGGTTCTCAACAGTTCACTTTTTACACGTAACTTTTTCTTTTCTTTGAGCCGGACCAAATTTCTACCGCTTTTTCCATTTGTACCAAACAGGAAAGGGCTGGTAAGCATCCTGCAAGTAATCTCTGGCTTTATTGAGTCTAGTGAAGAAGAAACAATCGGACGTGGGATATTTTACAACTCCCAACCTGTTTTAGAAGAACAAATTGCAGCTTGCAATCATGGACGAAACAGAAATCTATTTGGATCTCGCTCATTTGAGGCAGCGCCTCCTCGTGTTTGAAAATGGAATGCATGATGGATTCTCTGATTCTGGCTAAAATTCAAATCATATCTCCTCCGGTAATTATTCCGGGTCGAAGTCTGTAAAATAAGAAGATTCAATGAGTTCACACGTCTCGTTGTTTCCTACACATGTATATATCTTTTTTCGGTCGGGTAATAAGTTCTTCCTTGTAAGATATCTAAAAAAAACTACTACATCAACATCTCGCCATACTGTATACAAATATGTAACCCTGATCTCGCACCAAATTCCTCATACCATTACAACTTGCCTAACCGCAGCGCCATTCGCCAGTAATTTCAAATTTTAATCATTTTATTTTTCAACAATCTCTGCAAGGAATGTGAACATCGGAAAGATCAAAATTTTGCCATGCCGTATGCATTTTTATAACTTTGATTTTGCACGAAATAACTCGCACCATGACTACTCAGTACTTAGCGAAGCGCAGTCCCGTCATTCTTGAATATGAAGTAAATATTAGAGTGTCAAGAAGACATAGCAATTCAATAAAATGAAACAGAAAAACTTGATATGTAAGTGGTGTTTATGGAACTGATCGCAGCGCGTAGAAAGAGCAGGACATTTTTGGACAATTACAGTTTACGTGGTTAGATGCGCGCAGCGCAAATTTAGTTGCCTCAAGATGTACTCATTTTATCGAGGGCTTATGCTTATTTGGTCATCAAGTTTTATCAGGTATGTGAATTGAAGAAAAGATTACGAAACTGCACTACGTTCTTGAATGACGAAAAAGGCTTGTTGATCTAGAGGCGTGACTCAGGACTTGACCAACAACCAAAAAGCTCTACAAAGTTTGCTTTAAAAATATGCGTCTGCAGAATTACTGACAAGCCATGACATTTTAATTTTTACTTCTTAAGTTGTGTATCGGTTTTGTTGTACAGCACTGAGACGGTCTCACGCTCAAAATGAACTTGTAAAATTATTACTTGGCTAACAATAGCCTAATTGCTTCCGATATTCAATTTCTTTTTTGTTACGGAGAGCAGGAGAAATACAATAAGGAACCACGACGAGTGAAATCCTGAGAGAGAGAATGTTGTGTGTGTTATTTCCAAGTCTAATCCGTGACTGTCTAACATATGTAAACACCTGTTAAGGTCGCGTTACACTTGAAGTATGGAGTGTGTCACAAATACCTAAAAGTAATTCGCCCACTTCGGTTAAGTGGTGCAGAATAACGCTCTGTGATTGGTTACCAGGGATGGTGACCTCCTTAACTACCAGTATTACTCAGATTTCATCAGTTAAAAAGGTAGTCAGGAAATTAAAATAATAGCAATAATAATAATAATAAGATAGAATTTTGCCATCAATCTATGTTTTTTGGGAAGTCGGTCTCTAGGGGGTTAAGCGCCATGAAGTATTCGATCTTTATCTGTATTTTGTTAGTTTTGTGCCGCATGATGTCTGTACTTGCGTCTTCGCAAGGTTAGTTTATTTATTACTGATTACTGAGAAGGGGGTTAGTGAGGGGGAAATTAGTCTCTCTAAATCGTAGTTGAGATGCAGTCTCTCGAAAAAGTGGTTGTGGGCATTTCGCTTAAAAAATCGATTTCTTTCAAGGAATCTGTCTTAGTCTCAAAGTAATCCAAATGATTTTGTTTTTTCGAATTACTGCAATTTTTTTCCATTCCAGAGTAGCTTTGCACTTCCTTAACTTATTGGAAATGCGTAAAAGATTAAGCTTTGTGATTGCCACTTAACGAAGATTGCAGGGGGTTCCGCTGTTTTCGTCTTTTTATCTCTGGAAGTCAGCGCTTCCAAGTCTTCCACTAGTGGCAATAGATGCCATCGATTGCAAGACAAACCAAGGGGTTTACAGAAAGCCAAAAGGAAGTAAACTGGCCAAGCAATTAGTAAAATGTTATCGCTTTTGAAATTCATAAAAAAAAGTTCATAATCAGATCCGTCGAAAGCTGTTGTTAAAAAAATAATCTAGAAAGGATCTATTTAGCTTTCCTTTACTTACGCCGGTTTTTATTTTAATAGCTAGTTCTTTTTCTTTTTTTCAAAATAAGTACCTTTTTTGATCTACTATAGGTCATACACAATTATCCATGGCAACTGCAAGAACACCCTGCATTCGAATTATTTGTCCCTGAGTT